ATGTTGCTTTTATTTTAATTATATGTTATTTATATATGTCATTGTGTGTCTTCCCCCCCTTATCTGTTGTAAGCCGCCCTGAGTCCCCCCAGGGAAAAGGGCGGCCTATAAATAAATTTACCATTACCATTTACCATTTATCATCTACAGATGAAAAGTTTTTGGAAAAATCAAAACTAACACTTTCACTGGACCAATCTCTGAAGGATCACAACAAGCATTTCTGATAATCACCATGAATTTCTCCAACAGAAAAAAATAATAATGGAGAAACTAGGAAGAACTAGAATTCAAAATATAGTAGGAAACAAATAAGGGAAATTTGCAACAATATTTCTTTTGACAAATTTTATTCAGCATCACTTTAGGGAGTTTTAAATAATGCTGGCAAACCATGGATACATAAAGGTTACATAAAGGCATACTACAGCAAAATACATCTGAGGGACACAGACTGGATTCATACATTGATGCTGAGTTAATGTGTTGTATGAATTCTATTCATACAGCAGATTAACTCAGCTTATATAATAAACCAGCAATAAATACATGACCCATACCTAACTAACCCATACTTAACTGAGTGTACAAGCAGTATCACAGAATGCCTAAGCAGTTTTTAGTTTGTGCTTAAATTTCTCAAAACATTTAACTCTGCTTTACACCTTTATGAGACTCATCATATATTGTGTAAATGAAACATCTGAAAATGCTGCCTCCACCTCCTCCAACTGTCCAGAAGCACAACTTAAAGGCAATAGCTTGAGATTTTGCATGTAAAGAAGAAAAGTGATTTGATTGTTTCATTCTGCATTCAACATTTGTTGTTTATATTCTGTATATAACTTCTAAACTGCATATCAAGGACCTCCACATTCTGTATTTATGATACATGCTTTGAATCAACTAACTGTAAAAAATATCAGGGAACTAATATGCAATTGGATATGACTTCCTGAAAGTCATTTAATACTAAATGTACAGTGTAAGCGAGAAAATGCACGTGCATGCTATCATTATTATCCTCTTCAGTAGTTATGAGATAACTTCCAGATCAAAGGTTTTCCAAGCAGCTTATAAAACAGATTAAGTAATACCCACAAGATGAGATGAAGGCATCTGTAAAAAGAACAAACTTTGTATAATATCTGAATTTCTTCAACATGCTCCTCCAGTTCTTTTGCTGTGTTTGCTTAATTTATCGTTCTGCTCCCATAACAGCAACTAATATCAGAGAGTGAAAGACACATTTGCAGCCTATTGAGCAATCTTTATGAGATACAAACATAACCAAGCTTCAAAAAGTGATGGCATCAACAGGAATTACTTAACTACAATTGCTTGAGGATGCACAGAGGAAGAATAAAGCAGTGATGTTTCTTATTCCTCGGGCCAGAAATTGAGGTCTGCCTTATCAGAGATACATGGGTTGTATCTGCCCTGGGATTGTCACTCTGGCTAAATTGCTAAGGGCCATGGAAAGCTTGGATGTTCTGCCTTTAATCACAGCAATACAATATTGCCAATGGCAACAGCATCTTTTTAGGTAAGAATGAATCTGGCAAAACCTATGTGAGGAAGAGGACGATGCAGGATGTTTGCTTTGTTACCCTAATAAAACCAGACTTTTTGAGGCAGCCAGTTTTTTTCTCTTTGCAGGTGTTTTTTCCTCTTACTTACAAACTCTTACTTTGTGCAACAGCAAGAAATGGAAACTCTTAAGGATCAAGTTCCTTCCACCTGAATAGTCCCACAATTGATCGACTTTCATATTCATAATAAGCATCTTATTCTCTATTTAGTCTAAACTTCCCCATAAGTTATGCCTTCTTTAAAAATATCCTTATGTACTGTCCATGTTCACCTTTGGCTTGTCAGCTGATGGATATCTTCATCTAGTTCACAGAGATATTGATTTCTGGTCCTTTTTCTTGGTACATAAGTTCAGTCTAAAATGAACATAAATCAAAGAAACAGTTATTAGGAGAGAAGCAATATATGTACTCATGTATGTTTCTCCACCCTCAGAAAATGTTTTTATAACTTCTGAAGAGATAAAGATACAGTGGAGAAAAGGTCATCTTACAGAGAGATCCTTTCTGCAGAGAAGATCTTTTATCCCTCGGTCTGTAGTATGTGGAAATACATCATCTACATTCTAGACTCGTGGTTCCCAACCTTTTTTGGCCATGACCAACCTAATCATCTCTTAAATCCTATCCCCCCGCCCGACATCTAATTCTTACTATTCAAAAAGTGAACTCCTACTCATGCGGAGGAAGCCCAAAAGGCCATTAACTTGATTAAACAAGGTTCCAAAGAACATGGCATCCATGAAAGAAAAAAATAAATAAAAGAACGAAAGACAGTAGAAGTATTGAGGAACTTAAAAATTATAGTATGAAGGAAATAAAAAACCAGCAAATACAATTTCAAAACATATAATAGAGAACTGAAATGCATAAATATAAAATATTTTTAATGAAAGTTTTTTCTGTAATACCTTGATCATATTAATTACTATACATATTAAAATAAAGGTACCTAACAAATTCAAAATACAATTGGAGCTCACCTCAAGATCATATTTACAACTCAATCCTATGCATGTTTACTCAGAAGTAAGTACCATTGTCTTCAATGGGGCTTACTCCTGGGAAAATGTAGGACTGCAGTTTTAATCTACTTAAATTAGTGAGATCCTTGTGCCTGATGCCTGCTGCAGAGAGATTTTATATTACGCTGCAATTTAGTTAGCTTTATTCTCAGGTCTCCTCATTCAGTGATATTAAAAGAAGATGGAGCAGAAAGAGGGAAATTAAAAAAAACATTGTTAGCTTAATTTAAGAATAATAGCACTAGCAATAGCAATAGCAGTTAGACTTATATACCGCTTCATAGAGCTTTCAGCCCTCTCTAAGCGGTTTACAGAGTCAGCATATTGCCCCCAACAACAATCCGGACAATAAGATTGTCATGAACAAAAGGGGGTTTGTAACCTATGATCCCCCTACTCGCCCACTTGGTTTGAACTTGCAGCTTAGTGGGGAAATGCTTTGATAGTTC